GACCCCCAATATACGGACATTCTTCCCACTGACCCCCAATATACGGACATTCTTCCCACTGACCCCCAATGTAAGGAGCATTCTTCCCACTGACCCTCAATGTAAGGGGCATTCTTCCCCACTGACCCCCAATGTAAGGAGCATTCTTCCCACTGACCCTCAATGTAAGGGGCATTCTTCCCACTGACCCCAATATACGGACATTCTTCCCAATGACCCCCAATATACGGACATTCTTCCCACTGACCCCCAATATACGGATATTCTTTGCACTGACCACCAATGTAAGGAGCATTCTTCCCACTGACCCCCAATGTAAGGGGCATTCTTCCCACTGACCCCCAATGTACGGGCATCCTTCCCACTGACCACCAATGTAAGGAGCATTCTTCCCACTGACCACCAATGTAAGGAGCATTCTTAAAAACTGACCCCCAATGTAAGGGGCATTCTTCCCACTGACCCCCAATGTATGGGCATTCTTCCCACTGACCACCAATGTAAGGAGCATTCTTCCCACTGACCCCCAATGTAAGGAGCATTCTTCCCACTGACCACCAATGTAAGGAGCATTCTTCCCACTGACCACCAATGTATGTAAGGAGCATTCTTTCCACTGACCACCAATGTAAGGAGCATTCTTCCCACTGACCCCCAATGTAAGGAGCATCCTTCCCACTGACCCCCAATGTAATGAGCATTCTTCCCACTGACCACCAATGTAAGGGGCATTCTTCCCACTGACCCCCAATGTACGGGCATTCTTCCCACTGGCCACCAAGTAGAAGACAAGTGAGGGAGACCACCAAGAGATAGACTAGTAAAGGAGGCCACCAATATGGAGACCAGAAAGATAGACCACTAAGCATGAGACTAGCGACAGAGGCCACCAAGAGACCTATGATCACTCTGAAGTAGTTATCGGCTTCAGTAGCTGAAATTGCAGAGACTACATAGTCTCTGCAAGCTTTTTATCAGTTCAGTGCACAGGAAGTTACAAGGACACCAGAATTCTGGCAAGGTAATCAGTTATTTTTCTGTATTTGCCTAAATAAAAGATATCCTTTAACTAAAACTCACAACATCTAGCCTACCTGTATATGGTGGTCAAGCGCCTTAATATTTGGGAGGTGGGGCCCTGGTAGCTGCATATGGTTGTGGAGTGTCTCAATATCTGGCAGTTGGAGCCTGGTGATTGCATGTGGTGCTGGAGTGTCTCAATATCTGGCAGTAGAGTCCTGGGTACCTGTATGTGGTGGTGGAGTGTCTCAATATCTGGCAGTAGAGTCCCTGGTACCTGTATATGGTGGTGCAATGTCTCAGTATTTGGCAGTTGGAGCCTGGTACCTGTATGTGGTGGTGGAGTGTCTCAATATCTGGCAGTAGAGTCCCTGGTACCGATATGTGGTGGTGGAGTGTCTCAGTATCTGGCAGTACGAGCATGGTACCTGTATATGGTGGTGGAATGTCTCAGTATTTGGCAGTTGGAGCATGGTACCTGTATATGGTGGTGGAGTGTCTCAACATCTGGCAGTTGAGTCCCTGGTACCTGTATATAGTGGTGGAGTGTCTTGATATTTGGCAGTAGAGTCCCCGGTACCTGTATATGGTGGTGGAATGTCTCAGTATTTGGCAGTTGGAGCATGGTACCTGTATATGGTGGTGGAGTGTCTTGATATTTGGCAGTAGAGTCCCCGGTACCTGTATATGGTGTTGAAGTGTCTCGATACCTGTATATGGTTATATTGTGTCACAGAGTCTCGATATCCAGCGATTGGGGCCCTGGTACCTGTATGTGGGCTCTCCGTGTCTTGGTTGTTGTCTTATAGATGTCTTGGAGCTTTGATCTTTGTACTGAATATTATATCTGCACTGAGGGAAGATTCTGGTGCCAAGTGGTGACTCACTCACCTCTCTGATCTGAATGGGGCTGACTCAGCAGGTCAACAGTGGCAACACCAGCCATAGGCTTATTTTCCTTTCGTTCTGGATGGAATCGCAAATCAACTCTTTCAGGGATTTATAGCTTTGTCCCCATTAGGAGGATCCCTTCTGACTTCCTTTTCTGGTGTCACTGTCACACAGGATGTCACTGAGACAGGAAATGAGGGGAAGGCATGAGAGAAACCTTACAGAGTCTAAACCTCCCCATCCAAAGCTGTGTGGAGATAGGCTTTAAACACATCAGATTCACAGCCTAGAGAGGTTGGTCAATGGGCTGATGGCTGTTTCTGGAAAGAAAGCCACAAATAAACATTTTCATACATATCATGGTGGTGACTGTAATTGGCAAATTGAGTCTTTTTCCCTTGTTCCAGGACAACCCACTTGAGCTTGGCTCCATTGCAATACACTTTTGAGGAAGTTCTCATGGGTACGGTGTGGCCTTCCCTGCAAACACCTCCTGGTCAGAGCAGTGAGCACATCTGGCTGAAGAACACATGGAGGGCTCCTGTGGATAGAAGGACATCTGTTATGGTTCTGTCCACAGTGGAGAAGTGTGACACTGCTTCCCCTGCTCCGTTCTTGTCTTGGAAGGTCCATTCCATGTTCCTATGGGTCAGAGGCTCTTTTAGAGAGCCTGTTGGTGCTCCATGCTGGCCTCCCAGGATGATGAATGGCTCACATCTCTGATCTCCTTGGGGGAGGTTCATGTTGGTGATTGTGGCAGAGCTCGGGGACAGTGTTGCTAACTGCGGTATTGCAGTGTCACATAGAACTGGCATTGGGCCACAGCAAAGGCCTGGAAGCATGAGAGGAACCATGGAGTAGGACATGTTAAGTCACCCAACCGATTCCAATACCCAGCTGCACCCACCTTTACTGTACTGTCCCTTTGATGTCTCAGTCCTTGCAGCTCCTACTTGTTGCAATATGTACTCCTATACTGAGGAGCCACTTTTCAGGGTAAATGCCTAAATCCACGCCTTATCACCTCCTTACTATGAATATTTAATTCAAGTGGAAAAAGCTGTGAGCATGTTTGGAATATATAAATGTGTACTGTTCTACCCGCCCAAGGATTTGTACATTTAACCAGCCACTAATGTCTCTCACACACACACAGGGTTTCAGTAGCCACCCAGGTTCCCACCCCTCTCCCAATCTCCTGCAATGCTGCCCAAATCTCCTGCGATCTCTGGGGCACTGGACGACTCCAGCTGACATCTCAGGGTCAGGACAGGCTCTTGATGAGCTCATTAGGGTCCAACATGCACAGGCCACAACAATAATGATGGATATTATGTATAATGATGTGAAAGTTTCCAGCTGAGTTACATTGGGGTGCTCTATGTATTGTAACAAGGACACTCCACTGTAGTCCAGGTAAATCAAGTAGAATGCAGTTTATTAAAGGACAAACACAAAATAGCCTGCAGCAGCAGCATAAGACAGTCCTTTATATGGCTCAGTAGCTTTCCTCATGAGCCCTCACTCTGCTCTCCCAGCAGTGTGTCCCAGCGGTCCTAGGGTCACCGACCTTCCTGACCTCTCCCAGCCTTCCCTGGCTGTTCCACGTGTCCCACACGCACCTGAGTCTGCTGTGGCTTTGTGCTTCCTGCACCCACACAACTCCAACACTCCTCTCTGAACTCTGGTCCAGACTCCTAATAAGGCTGCTCTCAGCCACCTGATCCAGCTATACTGGTCATTGGCAACACCTGGCCCCAGGACTGGAGATCTCATCCCACCCAGAGCTCTAAGAGATCTCCAGATCCCAGCTACATTTAGGAAAACTTGGAAGAACCTGAAAAGCCAGGTTGTTCCTTATAACCTGAAAAGCCAGGTTCTTCCTTATAACCTGCTTTACTTTCTGGGCCCTCTCAGCCCCTTTGGCTGAGAGTCCTAGGTGCCAAGGACGCCATCCTCCACAGTGGCATTGGCTTACACTGCCACAGCATGCAGGGTCGGATTTCTCGCAAGGCAACGGGGGGTGGGCAGGGGTCTCGGGGCATTTTCATGACTACTCGTACTTGTGAGAGTACGAGTACTGAGACCCTGCACAGTCTCCTAAGACTTCACACAGCCTCCTGGGACCCCCCACAGCCTCCTAAGACTCAGCACAGCCACCTGAAACCCCACACATCCCTCCTAAGACCCCATACTGCCTCCTGAGACCTAACACAGCCCTCTTTAGACCCCATATAGCCTCCAGAGACCCAGCACAACCTCATGGGAGCCTGCATAGCCTCCTGAGACCCAGCACAGGCCCTCTTAAGACCCCATATAGCCTCCTGAGACCCAGCACAGTCTCATGAGAATCTGCACAGCCTCCTAACACCCTGCACAGCCTCCTGAGACCCAGCACAGCCCTCCTAAGACCCTGCACAGCCCTAAAACCCCCTACAGCCTCCTGAGACCCAGCACAGCCCTCCTAAGACCCCGCACAGCCTCCTAAGACCTTAGAAAACATTAATGTTACTGCCACACTGAGCAGCAAAATGCCCATGTGCCAAGCTAAAGGGCATGCCCAAAGAACCCTCGTAAGATCTGCTGTAGTATGATAAAGTAATTTTATGTGCAGGCAGTTATTATTGACTGCTGATTGGATCTCTGGGCGTTGGCAGTACAATGACTCCCCCCTACAATGACAGTATAGAAGATCACATTTCAGGTACCCCATGGTCTGGCTGCCATCTTTGTCCATGTAAATTCCATAATATAGGGCCCATTAAAGCACAAACTGGACTTTGTAATATTATTACATTCCACATACATCCTAGGTGTGGACATTAGAGCACATGAGGAAATCATGCCTCCAGTCAGGAAGGCGTTACAAAAACACAGGTAGGGTATACCAAGATGGCGTCAAAATACTGATAAAGCCCCTACTGGGAGGGTGTACCAAGATGGCGGCTGCACACGCACATAGTCCTACATGAACGGTGTACCAAGATGGCGGCGTAATACCCATATGTGGAGGGTGCATCAACATGGCGGTAGCAAACTGTGACGTCGCCTGGAGACACTTCTGGCATTGCGCCGTGACGTACACGTAGGTCAGGTGACCGGAGCGCAGTTAGTCAGGGAGAGTGGTCCGCCGCCATCATGTACCGAACTCCGATGCGGCGCGGCTTTTCCCCGGACTCCCCCCGGGACGTCTACCGGAAGTCCCCTACCTCTCCCCCCCACCATGGCCGGTCCCGACGCTCTTGGTCCCGCTCCCCTGATAGGACAAAGCACTCTCCGCCTAGGAGAGGCCGATCCCCTGCCAGAAACAGATCCCGATCACGGGGCCGGTCCCGGTCTAGGCCTGGAGCCTCCCACCGCTCCAAATCCCGGCCCCGGTCCAAATCCCGACCCCGCTCAAAATCCCGGCCCCGCTCCCCATCGCCCTACTCCAAGCGCTCGGGGGAGGACTATACGTATGAGGGGCGTGACAAGGTGAGAGGCCCGCCCCTGCACAGACCTGAATCCCACCCCAGTCATGAGTAGTCATGTTGGTCCTTCACTGGCTCCTCCCCCTTGCTGTTGCCATGTTATTACTTCCTTCTCATTGTTTTCTTTTCCTCCACAGCGCCGATACTCACCCAGCTACAGGGGCAGGTCACCGCCAGGGTCCCGCTCCCCAGACCGCCAACCCAGGTACTGTCTCCGCACACACATCACACACTCTGCCCACACTCAAATCCAGATGTCCCATACTGCCACCCATACATAGACCGCCATTGTGCCCATTATAAAGATCATCATGTGATTCCAAGCATACGATAGCTGCCACCATCTCGGGATCGGCTGACAGCGAGCTCCGCCCTGCCATTCCTCACCGCGCTCAGTGTGTGACAGGTTCACTTTAAAGTGGACATTTACTTTATGAGACAGGAATTCCTCATCAGTCAGCCAATCAGGATCCGTATAGCCATGCCATGTCATCGAGGGGGGTGGGGTCTAGGAAAAGCGGACCGATACTTCGTTGATCGCCTCTCAGCGCTGAGGAATGAAGGACGATCTGGGCCACAGAGCAGCTGCACTACACTTACTGTTGGTGCTATACCATTGAGTGCTTCCAGAAGGCCATGACTGCTTTCTCAGATATTTGGAAAGATCCTGAAATCGGATTGTATTTCTGGAAAACCCCTTT